ACCAGTGTGTGGTTACCAGTGAATGGTGTATGTGCTAGATATTTTCCTATATGCTCTTCCAAATCCACTTTCTACCCTTATCCTCCCTTCTCTGTTCTCTGGGAAACTGAACCTAATCAGGTACCAACAGGCTCCCTTCTCCTTGGGCTTCCTATTGAGTTTGGCCAATGGAAGACACTGGTGAGAGGGCAGAGGGAGAGAAGGAAGTGAGGGCAAGGCAGAACTTCCCCAGCTCCTTGAATGCAGGTTTGCTGCGGCTTAGCTTTGTTTATAAGAAAAGCCACAACAGCTATAATTACAACTTCTTTCCCAAGATTCCAGCATCTGGGTCCTCTCCCTGTCCTTTCAGGGGAGGTAGGAGTGATAACTCCTCAGGACTTTTAGTCCAGAATGTTTCACCTTTCCTAAGAATTCTTTTAAGCTTTCCCAAACCTTTGTAAATGGCCCCTTTATTAAGCTTTCCTCAAATACTCCCTTTTAGAGTTAGGAACTGAATTCCATGTTCAATTCATATAGTGAAGCCCTAATTCCTGCCCCGCCCCCAGTGTGGCTATATTTAAGCTATAACGAGGTAAATAAGGTTAAATGAGGTCATAAAGGTGGGGCCTTAATCCAATAGGCCTGGTGTTCTTATAAGAAGAGGAAGAGATACCAGAGATCTCTCTCTCCACATTAACAAAGAGAAAAGAGGCCACGTGAGACCACGGTGAGAAGTCGGCTTTCTACAAGAAGAGTGGCTTTAACAGAAACCAACCCCCCTGGCGCCCTGATTTTAAACTTCCAGTCTCCAGACTTGTAAGAAAATAAATTTCTATTGTGTGAGCCTCCCAGACTATGGTATTCTGTTATAACAGCCTGAACTAAGGAATATATCCCTCAATGATGCAGTATTCAAACTGTACAACAGACCCTCCACCAAAGGAATTTCTTCTTAGCCTGGGGAGTTCAGGGGTAGTTTGGGGCATTGGGAAGTGCTTCTGAATAATACAATTTAGTTTTTGACTTATAGGAATGTAGCAACCCTTGACATAGGGAGATGTCTGTGTAACACCTTGGAATTCATTTGTTCAATAAATATTTATTGAGCATATGCTAATGTGCAGTCACTGGAGATATAGCAGTGAAGAAAACAGTTCAACACTGCAGTACTAGTGGATCTATGTTCCAGTGAAGGAGAAGAGGAAATGTGCCTATGCCTGGCATCTTTAACGTTAGGCTACAAAATCATCTTCTCCCTTTCCAAACCTCAGAGATAATTTATCATAGTGTAAGGAATTTGTCTTCTTCCCACGATGCTTCTTTTAAAGACGTGAAAAGAATCTCTAAAGAGTTGCTTACAAGAGTGGCAAGAAAAGGGTGTGGACAACAGCCTGGGACCTTCTGCCGTGGGGGCTCATCCCTTTCCCTCCCCACCTCCCCAGCCTAAACTCACTGGGAAGAACAAAAACTAAAGTGCAATATACTGCATCAGACCAGGTAACCGATATCTCACAGGAATATGAGCTCATAGACTTGAATAACAGGATACCTGGATCAGTTACAAATTGTGTTCAGTTGCTGCTGGTATTGGAGACCCATCCACAGAGATATATAAGGGCTAATTTTCTCATTTAACAGAAATCCAGAGAAATAGGTAATCCAGGGCTAATAAAGCAGCTCCACAAAATCATCAAGGAAACAGGCTTCCTTCTCCACCATTCTTAGCTCGACGCTTCCAGCCTTAAGATTACAAGATGGCCGCTGAGAGGTTCAGCAGTCATACCCTTCCATCTTTGAATAACATTTTAAAAAAAGTTTTCCTGCAGAGGATCCTCAATTGATTTTTCCTCTGTTGAAAAGGCACAGGATCTCATTCCTACAGGTTCATGTATGCTCCATCTGACTGGGTGCTGTTCCCTGAGGACAAAGTTGGACTAGAGGCTCAGCGTTGCTCTCCATATCAGCCTAACACAAAGGAAAGGCTTGTCCCAGAGATACATGTTTAGTCTGAGAAACAGTAGTGCTCCATGGGAAAGGGGCTAGTGAACAAGTGTTGAGGGACTCTCTTTTCTGTGGGCCCCCTGAATCCCTAAATATCATAATCCATCCATAGCCACTAAATTACTGTGTTTGAGAGTTTGTTCTGCAGCCCCTTGCCATACCCAGACGGATGGTCTGCGAGTTTGGATTGAAACAGTAGTCTCTACTCTAATATCTTTGCTGCCTAACCTGTTCCCCTAGATGCAAGTCTCTTCTTTCTTGAGAGTGCTGTTCTAAGGTGTCCCTCTGGGCCAGCAGAATTGAGTTAGAAAAGTGGGAAGTGGAACAGGAGAACAAAGAGTGAATCTCTACTTGTGAGCTGGTCCTAGGGGTCCTTTACCTCACTGATGTCTTGATGTTTCACTGATATGTGAAGAATTTGATCCCTCTGTTGGTAGCGAATCCACTACCAGAACAAAGATCCCCACCACACACAAGAGGAAACAAAGAAGGAAACAGAGCCCTATGCAGAAAAGCTTGAGCTCAGCCAAGGGGCACTAATGTTTCTCAGACTAAAGCGATAGTTTCCATCAGTGGAGGCAGAGTGCTGCCTCAGGCCACCGAGCACTGGGACAGCACACTCCAGCCACCCGCAACAAACTTCCTGCCAGCCCTGCTTACCCTTCCCTATAAAAGAAAAACCGTTTCCTGTTTGATTTTTAGATGCTTTTAGATTTTATGTTCAGAGCATTCTCCTGTTGCCATAGTCTGTCTGAAAAAAGTCTCTCCTTATTCGAGCCCAGATGTGTTGTTTATTTGACAGTTTATGGTGCCATGACTTGACTGAGTGCTGCCTGCCCTCCGAACCCACTGTCTTCTCCCAGGTACTCATGCTGGCTTCTCAGATCTTTTGTGTCCTCCTTTCTGGCTGGGGAAATCAAGATCCATTGTGTATTAGTTTGTCAGCTGCCATAACAAAACACCACCACAGACTGGGTGGCTTAAACAACAGAAATTTATTTTCTCACAAGTCTGGAGGCTGGGAAGGCCAAGATCAAGGTATCAGCAGGTTTGGTGTCTTCTGAGGCCTCTCTCCTAGGCTTGCAGATCGCCATCGTCTTGCTGTGTCTCCCACGGTAGGCCCTCTGTCGCGTCAGTGTCCGAATCTCTTCTTCTAAGATCACTACTCATGTCAGATTAGGGCTCACCCATATGACTTCGTTTTACCTTAATCACATCTCTTTAAAGGCCCTGTCTCCAAATGCAGTCACATTCTGAGATACTAGGGGTTAGGACATCAACTATGAATTTAGGGGGACAGAAGTGAGCCTATGGAACACCATAATGAGTCACAACTCCTAATCCAGTGATTTAGAAATCTGTCTGTTGTAACATAGTAAGGAATTACATTGATTCTGTTGACTGGGGCTCCTGTTCTTTTCTATTTTTTAATTTTATTTTATTTTTATTTTTTGAGACAGAGTCTCGCTTTGTTGCCCAGGCTAGAGTGAATGCCGTGGCATCAGCCTAGCTCACAGCAACCTCAAACTCCTGGGCTCAAGCAATCCTCCTGCCTCAGCCTCTAGAGTAGCTGGGACAACAGGCATGTGCCACCATGCCCGGCTAATTTTATATATATATATTTTTTTTTTTAGTTGGTCAATTAATTTCTTTCAATTTTTTTTTTTTTTTAATTGAGACAGCCTCTCGAGTAGCTGGGACTACAGGCATGCGCCACCATGCCCGGCTGATTTTTTCTATATATATTAGTTGGCCAATTAATTTCTTTCTATTTATAGTACAGACGGGGATCTCACTCTTGCTTAGGCTGGTTCTGAACTCCTGACCTCGAGCAATCCGCCTGCCTCAGCCTCCCAGAGTGCTAGGATTACAGGCGTGAGCCACCGCACCCGGCCTCTTTTCTATTTCAATAAGAATCTTCCTGGACCAAGAGCCACCTTGGCTTATTTTTTTTTTAATTGTAGTAAAAGACACATAACAAAATTTATCTTAGCCATTTTAAGCGTTACAGTTCAGTAGTGTTAAATATATACACATTGTTGTGTAACCAATCTCCAGAACTCACTCACCTTGAAAAATGGAAATTCTAGAACCATTAAATAACAACTCCCCATTTACCCTCCTCCCTAGCCCCTGGCTACTACCATTCAACTTTCTGTTTCTATGAGCTTTAACTACTATGGATACCTCATATAAGTGAAATCATTCAGTATTTGTCTTTTTGTGACTGGTTTATTTTTCTTAACTTAATGTCCTTAAGATTCATCCATGTGTCAGCATGCATCAGCATTTCCTTCCTTTTTAAGGCTGAAAAATATTCTATCATATGTATATGTCATATTTTGTTTATCCATTTATCCATCAATGAACATCTAGATTGCTTCCACCTTTTAGGCTCTCATGAATAATACTGCTATAAACATGGGTGTGCGATTATCTCTTTGAGACCATGTTTTCAATTCTTCTGGATATATGCCCAGAAGTGAAATTGTTAGATCATATATAATTCTATTTTTAACATTTTGAACAACTACCATACTATTTTCCATAGTAGCATCTTGGCTCTTTTTGAGTGGGTACTTAATCTTTGACTCTTTCTATTGAAAGAGACTCTTCCTGGCTCTTTTCTGTTTGAGTGAGAATTTTCTTGGATGGAAGTCTTCTTGGCTCTTTTTGAGTGATGACTGAATCCCTCACTCTTTCTGTTGAGTGGAGTTCTTCCTAGCTCTTTTCTGTTGAATGAGAATCCTCTTGGATCTTTTGTGAGATCTCTTTTATTTATTTGAATACTAGCCTTATGCTATTAATAATTATAATTCCACCAGGCACCATCCTCCTTCTCCCTTCCTGACTCCACCACTATGGCACTATTTCAGTCCAGTATCTCCAAAAGTGGCAAAATTTTATAAAGAATAATTTGAAACTACAATGGCCTCTCTCTCTGAGGTTCCTGAGATCTCACCCAGGTTGGTTCACCTATGGGAGGCCATTACACCCTGGAGATGTTTATCCCCTCTAAACAATGGCCTGCTTACTTCTCTTGTTGTGAAGAAGCTGAAAAATGGTTTTCTCAATCTAACCTTAATCAGGCCACTAAGTAATCACAATCTACTTTATCTGAAGCTATTCGATTTCTCAAGGACCACTTGTCCTCCTCAACTACTCCGACCTCTCATCCACTCCAACCTCAAAGACACTCACTCCGGTCTCCTTTTCCTCTCCTTATCTGTCTGCTCCTCCAAACTTCTTCCTGTCTCCCTCTCCACTATGGACTGGCCCTACTTATATGTACTTGCCCCTCTTCAAACTTTCCCCTACTTTTCTGATCCCCAGTTTCCTGTAGTTGTTTGAGACCTTGGCCCTACTTTCCCTGTTCTTGGTCCTCAAGACCTCAAGGAAGGAAAGCTGAAGGGCTTCAATTGCCCATCCTCAAAAAGTCATTTTTAACCATTAGTCTCTATCTCCCTTATATGAAATAATAAAGGACTTACCTGGCACATAAGAAAACAATAGTTTTCCACACAACTCTGATTAGTTTAGAAGCATATCCTCTAGGACTTCCATACCTTTACCAATTAGTAAAACTTCTTGTGGATCCTCGAGATGCTTCCTCAAGGTTTGAAAAGGCTAAATGGTCACACCTGTTCTGTTAGGCTAAGAAAGAGGGAAAAAAAAAGAAAAGGAAAAAAAAAGGCTAAATAGGCCAGAATCAATGAAGACTTACAATTAAATCAAAATACACCCAACATCTATCAGAAAGCTAAGGAGAATGGAGATTCTATCTCTATGGCCTTCCTATCTAAAACAGACTGGTCAAAGATTCAAGAGTGCAGATAACAAAGAGACAAATCAGTCTCTAATTATAGGCACTGCTTAGAAAACATATGGAAGGATTATTCAGGCCTAACCCCGGTGACTTCATGGTGTCTGATTTAGTTACCGGATTTGGGTAACTAATGGGCTCTGTTTAAAACTGAGAGAGGCTACCCCAAAACATCATATAAATTGGTAAGATGCCCAACTCTCTGAAATCCATGAACAAGCTTATAAAATTAAATCCACATAATGCAAGCTCATGGCTCTTCAACTTAAACAATTTGAGGACAATTGAAAACTAGAGAGGATTAACAGAAAGCACAAACCCTAAGATAAAGAAATGGTAAGGAAAAACAATGAAGACTTCTGTCCCAGGACCTGGATAAAGTTTGACTTTATAAAATTGAGAATTTCTTTTCAATAAAGGACAATAGGAACAAACTTAACAAGCACATGGCAAATTAGGAGAAATCATGTATACCATGATGTATGGATGTGTAGAATATATGAGAAATGCCTCCAAGTTGACAACAAAGAAACCCAACAGAAATATGAGCAAATGATATTAATAGGCAATTCACATAAGAGGAAACCCAAATGTCTAACACACACATGAAGACAGGCACAAAATCATTAGTAATTAGATTAATACAAATTAAAATAGTGAGATTTTACACCCATGAGATTGGCAAAAAGTAGAAAGTCTATGAATTCCCACACGTTGGTGGGAATAAACAGATAGAGTTACCCTCCTGTGCTGCTGGTTCCCCCATTCTGCAAAGCAATCTAACAGTTCATTGTTTAAATATGTGTAGTATATACACTGCAGAGAGGGATCCCTAACCTTGTTTATTTGTCTTTTAATGTTTTCAAAAAATGTCCTCCCATAGTCACTTTCTGCCCTGAAAGGGCTCTGAGTTAGGTGACATAAAGGCAATTCTGTTATGCCAATCTTTCAGGGAACCCCCAGACAGATTATAGCAGACAAACACAATTCTTTGGGAACAAGGTCCACTCCACTCCCTCCAGAACCATGTGCCCACAGCAGGAACACGGACTGAGGTCTAGAAGACCCCCCGCCTCACTAGCAAGGTGAGTGGGGCAAGGCTAAGTTAGTTAAAACACCGCAAAGCTCTCCTACTGGTTTAAGTCACTTTTTTTCTTGATTCAGTGTTCACTTGGTTGCTGTAAACCTTCAACTATTTTCCAGAGTTCTGACAAAGTTGATTCTGACTTTTTTTTTCCTTCGTGTTTCTGCGAAGGTTAATGGGCCCTAGGAGCTCCCTACACCACAATTTTGACTGAGGTCTGGCCTCGCAAATAATTTTTTTAAATGAAACCAGCTTCTTACAATAGAAATATACAGTATTCAGTACATAAATGTAGTGAGAGAAAGCAGTCAGTGTTAAGAGGAGAAGGAGTTAATACTGACACTTTCTGAGTGCCAGTCATGTTCCAGCCACTGTTCTAGGACTTTTACATTGATTTCACTGATCTCAAGAAGAAGTCTTAGTTGTGGCTCAAGCTTTATTCCAAAAATTTGAGACGTACTTCTGGCACACACCTTATGACACACACAGCTGTTTTCACAATGACTTGGCATTTTTGCAGTTAAGGTCTTAAAACCTAAAGACAGAAATCTCATCTTACATGTGGCAGTCACTCACTCAACAAATATTTCTTGAGGGAAGGAAGCAGCTAATTGGGAAAACATGTATGGCAGATATATGGTGGCCCTCACTTCTATAAGATTTATCCCAGTGCTCTCTGCAGGAGCAAATTGCCCAATGGGTATACCCCAGTCCCTTATTTTGTTTTCCTTTGCTTAAATTCTTGACTGATAACCTTCTCAGTACCTTTGATCCTCTTTGATAGAGGACAAAAATCCATGTAACTAAAACAAATGTTTATTGAAGCCTCAATATATACACACGCCCACCCCAGCTGCCAGGAGTACAACTACGAATAATGTGGGAAGACAAACAGCATTACAATTAAATGAAATATGTGTTTTATAGGCAAATGTACTGAGTGCTATGACAAACCTAAAGTTCTCTCTTTCTAGATAAATAACCAATCTGAAAGGAAGGTTCTAAAAGATAACATGTTCAGGAAATTGCTTAAGAGAGGAGACAGACCTCAAGCTTTACCAGATTTTTTTCATGGGACAACTTTTTTTTATTTTTCCTTCCTTCCTTCCTTCCTTCCTTCCTTCCTTCCTTCCTTCCTTCCTTCCTCCTTCCTTCTTTCCTTCCTTCCTTCCTTCTTCCTTCCTTCCTTCCTTCCTTTCCCTCTTTCTTCTTTCTTTCTTTCTTTCTTTCTTTCTACCGAGTCTCACTCTGTCGCCCTGGGTAGAGTGCCGTGGTATCATCATAGCTCACTGTAACCTCAATCTCTTGGGCTCAAGCAATCCTCCTCCTGCCTCAGGATCCCAAGTAGCCGAGACTACAGGCATGCACCATGAACCCATTGCTGATTTTTCTATTTTTAGTAGAGACAGAGTCTCGCTCTTGCTGAGGCTCGTCTCAAAGTCCTGAGCTCTAGCGATCCTCCCACCTCAGCCTCCCAGAGTGCTAGGATTACAGGTGTGAGCCACCACGGCCAGCCCATGAGACAACATTCATTTCTGAAATACAAATGAGGCAGGAGTACAAGTTTTGGAGTCAAAAAACCTGACTTGGAATCCTGATTTACCACTTGCCACCTAGAGGACATTTCGCAAATGAATTAATCTCTTTGAGCCTCAGTTTCCTCATCTCTAAAACAGAAATAGTAATTCTTAATTCATAGGATTTTTTGGTGAAGATTAAGGTAAATGATGGTAAACATGTTTTGTACAGAGCTTCCCACGCAGTTGCCTCATAAATGGTAACTCTTATCTCTCTTCAGATTTACAGGAGGGATTATAAAATAAAACCTGGTCTAGATGCTGCTTTGAATGGACCACCTCTCTGATTTTTTTCAGTTGGGAAATATTAAGCTAACCCACTGTGATTTCCTACCTCTATGACTGGCTTTATGGGACATGTCTAATGGTGCTAAAGCACATGTTGAAGTATCTCGTCAAGGAGCTGGACATAGACATGTTAATTCAATGAGATAGGGCCAACTAGGAAGGATAAGAGTATGCAACCATGTGTGTCCATCTGGTGAAAGAGCAGTAGGTTGAGAAGTGGAAAGAAAAGGCCAGAAGAGAACAGCTTATACTGAGGCCATAGGAAGAAGTCTAGACATGAAGGCGGCACTTGATATTCAAAAACAGATTAACAAGCAACAAATGATATTAATATTCAGAGTAGATAACTGATTTCAAGAATATCCAGGGAGAGGAACTGGTTGTTCGGCCATGTGGGCAGACAAAGCTCCTAGATACAGGGGACCTAGGAGCAGGCAATATTCTGATATCTAGGCAGGTAGCCATGACATGGGGTTTGGTCTCTGTCTGAGGAGGGGGTCTGGGGATTAATAAGAATAATCCTAGAAAATTAGAGTACCAGACAAGTTACAAGCCAGAGTTTCAAACACAGGAGAACACAGCAATGATTTAACTACTACAACTGACACTTGAAAAAGGGTTTCTCAATGTCAGCACTATTGACACTGGATTAGATAATTCTTTGTGGTGGGAGGGAGGTAGGGGGTTGTCCTGTGCATTATAAGATGTTTAGCATTAGCTCCACCCAACAGATGCCATTAGCATCCATCTCCCAAGTTGTGACAATCAAAAGTATCTCCAAATGTCCTAGTGCAGGGAGAGTGGGGAGATGGGAAGGGGTAAATCTGCCCCCAGTTGAGAACCACTGGACTAGAGTATGCCTGATGAACACTGCTCCAATGGTGGAGGCTGCACTAAGAGAGGCTCAGGAATTAATTGATCTAGAAGTGGCCTATGACTGGCCTTCATTTCAATGACTGAAGGTAGCTCAGTAAGATCAGTGTAATGAGCCTTCTGCCTAGATCTCTGTCCCTTTTATCATTCCTGTGTACCCTATCCTGGCCTTCTCTGCTCCCCTCCTTTCAGTGTGTTTTTCCTCCAAGGGATGCCCTTGGGCTTCTCTAGCTTCTTTGCCCTACATATACAGGGAGCCAAAGGGCCTGAGGGAGCCCTTAGCCAGTGGCTGATTTGTGTGAGATAGCTCCTTTGCGTAGAGGGTTCCCTAAAACTCCTCTGCCCTCTCTGACGCTTTGCTTGATGGGCTTCTTCATCTTCCCTGCTTCTCCCACTGTCTTACTGGTATCTCCTGGGAACACTCCTTAATAAATTACTTGTATACAAATTTCTCCTTAGGGTCTGCTTCCAGGGAACCCCCTAATACAGCCAGTAAGGCCGAAGTCAAAGGAAAGAGTCAGAAACGAGAAACAAGTTCAGGAGAGCAGTTCAGAGTGAGGACTACAAATAAATCTGGCCTGAAGCCTCCATTAATGTGGTTTCCAGTGTGAGATGTGGCAATGGCGGACAGTTTTATACCCATACCAATATTTATAGGTGTGCTACAATTTTGAAAGTGTTTCTGGAGACACTGAGCACAAAAAAACATACTTGAATATTTGTCTTTACTACTAAAAGAGAAATTATTCTGCTTTTTGGAATGCTAACTCCAAAGTTTAGCTGATTTTTTAACTTGTAGGATAAAAAATTATTTTTACCTCTTATAACTTGCTTGGTTTTGGCATAAAGCCATGCATTGTTTCTGGGGCAGTACAATCTCTGTTGGCATTGGCATATGCACACAGAAGGCTTATTTAAAAGAAATTTACAGAATACTAGGTATGATACTAGGTATGATAATTATTATACATTCATTAAAAATATGACTTTTCAAGGTGGGGCACAGTGACTCATGCCTGTAATCCTAGTATTCTGGGAGGCCAAGGAGGTAGGATCTCTTGACTTCAGGAGTTCAAGACCAGCCTGAGCAGGAGTGAGACCCCCTCTCTACTGAAAAAAAGAAAAAAGAAAAAATTAGCTGGGTGTGGGGGCACATGCCTGTAGTCCCAGCTACTTGGGAGGCAAGGCAGGGATCTCTTGAACCCAGGAGTGTGAGGTTGCATTGGGCTATGATGACACCACTGTACTGTAGCCAGGGCAACAGAGAGAGACTCTAAAATTTTTTTTTTAAAAAAAGGTTTTTCAAATCATGATAAGTATTGTTTTAAATTAATGAATTCCAATTGCATTTCCTCAACTCCATATAATTGAGATAAAAAAGACTAAAGATGATTTTGAGTCAATCATGCTGAAGTTACCGATAATAAATTCAAAAGAAAAGTTGGCTACACAGTGAAAGACACTGAGTGAGAAGTTTATCCTAGATTACTGGGCCAATTATTAAATGATATTTTTTAAAGCTCCCTGGACCTCACGAATATCTGTCAAATAGTCCATCTGAGGTTTTTTTTTTTTTTTTTTTTTGCTAAATTCACAGGTTTTCACACATAAAGCTTATGCCATAGGATCTGTCAAGTTTCCCAAAAGTTGTGTAATAGGCACAAATGATCGAAATTACTGTTCTAGGAGCTCGCTACTATTACTTCATCTGCCACCTTTATCCATCCTTGCTTTGCATATTATCAGAATGGGAAAAATGAAATTATATAGTTTACAAAGTACCTGTTACAACATCGTCTCATTTTACAGCCAAACAGCGCCGCCCACTGACAATCTCATGGTTCACTACCTTCCATCCTGTAAAAGTGTCATCAGTTTAGCTGTCTGAAAGTGTTGGTTTCTTCATCGCCTACCTCTACCCTATTTTCCTCTCTACCTTTCTCTGCTTCCTGCTCAGCAGTTGCAAAATGTCTTGGGCAAAACTAGACTAACCTGGGTCTTCAGAGAAGCACAGATGAAGATTTTTCTGTTCGGCTATCATTTCACATCTATTTGGCACTTCAGACCTAATGAATGCTTTTACATCTGTTCCTTACTTGAGCCTCAAAACCCTCTGATTTTTAGTAGGGTATTCATTTATTCAACAAATATTTGTTGATTACCGACTACATGCCAGGCACTGTTCTAGGCATTGGAGATACAGCAGGGAACAAATTGGAGGTGGGGGGATAAGTAGCCCAACTCTTCTGAATCTTTCCTTTTAGCAGAGAAAGTCAGGCAGTAAAGAGGGCGGGACAGATAACGTAGCGCCTGGTAGGTCACCGGAGAAACTTTGGCTTTTACTTAGAGATGGGAAGCCAGCGGGAGGGTTTGGGGCAGAGGGCAGTTCCATTTTACAGATTAGTAAAATAAGGGACTCTTAAGCAGTATGTGCACCAGTGGAGCCTTTAAAAAAAAAAAATTAACAAGAGGTAGGCTTTGACTTGGAGCCACTAGTCCAGAGATTCGAGGAGGCAGAACAAAGGAAGCAAATTGTTTAGACTCAAATATACAGTTTAACAGAGCCAGGGGCTCTGTTCAAGCACTTGTCGCTGAAAAGCAGGCGAATCTTGACAGCGCAAACTCTGCCCCTAGCCTACTTGGACGCCGCGGGTGAGGCTGGGGGAAACGCTCCTCGCCCGGAACTGGGCCTGCCCCGAGCGTGGCTACGTCTCCGGCTACGCCCCGTCGGCTGCTCGCGCCGGGGTTGGCCGCGGCGGGGGCGGTGGCCACGGTGCCCGGAAGTGCGGCTGACGTGTCCCGGCCGCGCTCGGAATTGTGGGCGACTCCGCTAATGGCGTCGGCGAGTCTGGGGGCCCTGGGGAGCCGAAGCTGACGCTTCCTGCCAGGTTGGCTGGTGACACCCGGTGTGGCCGGGCCCCGCGGCAGCGGGAGGGACCTGCCCGCCTTGTGGGCTCCTCGGCCAGAGCCAGAGGAGCCTAGCGAGGCGGGGCGCCTGCAGGAGTGCCTCCGAGAGGAGCCGGAGGTTTTGCGAGGCGGCTGCGGGGGGCGCTCGGACACGCTCCGAGTTCGCAGCCCAGGCCCGGCAGAACCCCTGAGGAGCCCAAGGAGCGGGCTACGTAAGGGCCAGAAGCGAGGAGAGGGAGCTGCCTGTCGTCCCAACGAGCTGACAGTGCCGGAGCTTGTTTGTGCCTCTCAGAAATTGGCTCGGACCTTGGAGGATCATGTCTGGCACCAACAGCCCCGAGGCAGTGAAGAAGCTGCTGGAGAATATGCAGAGCGACTTGAGGGCCTTGTCACTAGAGTGTAAGAAGAAATTCCCACCTGTCAAGGAGGTAAGCTTCAGGCGACGTCAGGAGAAGGCGCCGTGAGCATGCCTGGTCCGGTTAGACCCAGCCCTTCAACCCCCCAGCCTCTAGTCTTGTCTAATTTTCATTTGGCCCTCACCTTTCCTTGTGAATCGGTGGGTTGTTTCCACAAGCGCTTTTTATAATTTCTGTTGGGAGGGGGGGCTGAGGCGCTTATATTTTCTCAACTCTGCTGTCCTTCCGGTTTAGGATTGAAGTTGGTGGAGTGAACTGATTCAGTTAATTCAACGAGGTGTACTGTATACTCACCTTTTCTAGCCTTTTTCAGACTCGAAACTGGCAAAGCCAGAATTGAAAAACTTAAATGTCTGTTTGTTGCTCCTAAAAATTAATATCCACCCGTTGTGGTGAAATCTACACTCCTCACTTTTATAGTATGTCACTCAATTGGAAACAGCGTTCCTTCTTAGGTGTCATTCATTTAGCTTAACTCTGTTATCAGTCCCATGAAGTATTAACCAACTATCCAGAGCCACCTAATTTATGACGAATATTGAAGCCCCACAGTAACCATATTAAACCTTGTTATGAGCAATATTGTAGTGGGAAGTTTGGGCTTGGACTCAAAGGAAGTAATTTGAGTTCTAGCAATACATCTTAATGTCTTTGAGCTTCAGTTTTCTTTCAGCTGTGAAATAGGGTTAAACAGTGGTTATATTATATATGGAAAAGTCGTCAGAACAAAAGGCTATTATTAAAGAGGCTCAAGCTAATAATATATACAAATTAAATACTCCAAATAGTTCCTGAGTTGAAATTTCAAAAATTTAGTTACTATTGGCTTTTTCTTTTAAGATGCTTTTTTAATTCTATTAAAATTTTTTTTAAATCTCAATTTTTTCCTCATTTTTGAAGTAAGACATTTTGGTGATATTGTAAAAGTAATTATTTTTATTCCTATTTAATGTAGTTTGGTTTACCTGAAATTTTATTTACTATTTGCCTTAGAAATTCACCAAGGAATTTCATATTTATACTGATTTACCTTTATTATTTTGAAGATTCTGTAATTAGAACTTGACCAATACAGTTTGGATTTTAGGCTTGTGAGGAATCTTAACTTTTCTTTAAGTGTTTTGGTTCCTTGGTTCTATCAGTCTTCAGCAAGTTCCATCTATTAATAAAGTAAGCAAACATTACCCCATGATGGAAACCAGATGTGCTACTTCTGGAAAGATGGCCATTATGATATATTTTATTTCAGATAGTCAATAATTTGTTTTGATATTGATGTCATTATTTTCTTTATATCATCTGTTGAAAGTTATAACAAGTAAATTTAAAGAATTAGGCTGTTTTGGAGAATTTTAAAGATTAAGGTCATTTTAACTATAAAAGAAATGCTCTCATTTAGAAAATATTAAATCCTATTTTTAATTTCAACAATAATTTATAGAACAAACCATTCCCGGTGCTAAGAATTCATATAAAAACTATGGTTCCTCTATACTATATGCTTTTGTGGTGTGTGTTGGAAATTTAATTGCCATTTATTACATTATTTTTATTGGAAAATACATTTGGAGTTCAAACAGGTAGTTTACAAAGTTTTGGAACTCAAACCATTCCTAATCTGAGAACTTTAATAAATGTTCATTTGTTTTTACTGAACACTATCTAGAGAGATATTTAGTAATTGCACCTAGTCCGTGGGATAATTGCAAAAGTAATTCTTCTTGTGATTATCTCTGATACATAATTTTGTATATGGTACATGCTCTATAAGAATTTGTTGAATGAAAGAATCGAGATTCCTTATCCAATGACATTTGCTTAGGGCTCTACTTTAGGAATTGAAAAATGATCTTGACTGTGTCATAGGTTTAAAACAAGGATTAAGTAATTAGCCTATTAGTGATGAGAGGAAGATGCTTCGACTTTCAAGAGATCTTTTGGTTGAATTAAGTTTTCCATGGTGAATTAATAGCAGTGCCAAATTTGGACTTCTGTTCTTGAAGGAAATGATAAGTTTTTTGTTTTTTCTCTTTGGGTGTTTAGGTAAACCTAAGGCAAAGCCTTTCTAAGTATAAGAAACTTTTCCATCTATAGATTGGTTTGCTAGTTAACACTCTCCCAGTGTCTTCTCAGGCATTAGCTGAAAAATACTCATTCTGAACTATTTATAAGGCTACTCAAGAACTTAATATAATATAGTTCTAATTGGGTATGTGCTTTGGAAGGGATGTCTCCTCCAGTACTTTTAAAATAAGCTAGAATGAACTGTTACATTTTATATTTAGTCTTTATTTCAAGTTTTTAGTAATTTGTGCTTTTTATAGCTGCAGTGCTTGGCTTATAAATTTTCTTATAGTGGCTATAATTTCATTCTGTCATTTTATAATAAAGGTAGTGATTAAGTAATACCAGCAGTAAACTTGCTCTTTTTTTTTTCTGTTCATTTTTCTTAGTCTTTAAACAACAATCTTCATGCTATAGCAGCATAACTTTTTTCTTTTTTTTCCCGCATGTACTCACCATTAAAGCATAACTTTTTTTAGTATAACTGTACCAGCTAATTTGTTAGGGAATATCTATCTATATGACAATTTTTTTATTTGCTTTAAAAGTTACTTTCTCCTAGCACTCCTAGGCCGAGGTGGGAGGATTGCTCGAGGTCAGGAGTTTGAGACCAGCCTGAACAAGAGTAAGACCCCATCTCTACTGAAAATAGAAAGAAATTAGCTGGACAACTAAAAATATATAGAAAAAATTAGCCGGGTATGGTGTCACATGCTACTCGGGACGCTGAGGCAGAAGGATTGCTTAGCCCAAGAGTTTGAGGTTGCTGTGAGCTAGGCTGATACCATAGCAACTCTAGCCCAGGCAACAGAGTGAGACTCTGTCTAAAAAAAATAAATTAATTAAAAAATAAAACAATTTCATGCTGAAGATTATTGGGAGCAGAGCTTTTTAAGAGAGGGAGTAATGTGATTAGATTTATATTTAGTAACATTGTCTTGACATTATTGGTAGGGAAAATTAATTAGAGGGTATTGAGATTGAGGCAAAGAGACCAAATTGTAAAAAGTAATAATTGCCTGAATGGAGGTGGTAGTAGACATAGCGATGAGGTTAATTGCATTGACAGTTGTGAAAGAAAGAGTGTGGATTGAAAAGAGATTTAGCAGGTAAAATTATCAAGGCATGGCATCCTTTTATATAAAGGGAGAGAGAAGTATGTGTTGCCTCCTAGGTTTCTGGCTGAGAAACTAGGTAGGTCACTAAGGGAAGGAATATAGGAGAAGGAAATGTTTTGGTGGAAAATGAATAGACATGAATATGTTAAGATTAAGATTTATGTGTGACATCCAAGTGGAACTGACCAGTAGGTATTTGAAAATGGTAGTTTCCAACTTAAGAGGGAGGTCTAGAATTTCAGATTTAGGAGTATCAATTTATACATAGATATTAGAAACCACAGGAATGAATGAGATGGGCCAGAAAGTACATTTAGAGTGAGAATATGAAGGCTGAAGAAGGAGCTCTGGGAAACAGCAGCATTAAAGTAAAAGGCAGTTGTGCAGACTAAGGTTAAGACAGGAGAGAAGGGGAAAATTTGTTGGAGCAAGATCCCTGGGAATGCTGGATTTTCCAGGGCATAAGTGTGTGAATGGAATTTCAATTTGATAAGGGACACCTCATCATCTGACAGTAAAGACAATGAAAAAAAATGGGTTTGAATGTGATAAATTTGAATGAGGGTCATAGTGGAGAGTTGGGAAGTTGTGGGCAATTTTCTGTGGCCTCT